AGCTCTTCGGCGCTGCGGGACCAACCCGGCAGCACCCCAGCTGCTCTGCCCCAGGTGTCCCCAATTCAGCTGCTGCTGAAACTGATCAGCAGCTGACTCCAGGAAAGCTGAGGCAGAGCTGCTCTGCCCCAGGCTTCCCGGAGTCAGCCGCTGGTCAATTTCAGCAGCATCTGAATGGGGATAGCTGAGGTGCTGCCGGGTTGGTCCTGCAGCCTCGAGGGGCAGCGCTATGGTACCTACCAGTCAGCATCCCAGCTGCTCTTCCCCTGGCTTCCCTGATTCAGCTGCTGGTCAGTTTCAGCAGCGGCTGAATCGGGGAAGCGGGGGCAGAGTAGCTCCAATGGTGCGGCTGCCCGGAGCACTTCCGGGTTCCTGATGGTGCCGGACCATCAGATGCAGGACCAATGGAGTTTTACTGTATAGAGATCAGATAGAGCAGGCAGGAGAGCAGACAGCCATGCTGAGCCCCTGGGAAAGGTGAGGGGGAGCCCCTCAGGCAGAAGGAGCGGGACCAGGGACAGCCAACCATTCATGCCACCCAGCGTGCGTAACCCTCCCCCCTTCAATCCCCCAAACTATTAGAGATGCCCAGATTGTGCCAGTGTAGTTTCACTGTAGTTGAAAAAGCTAAACTCATGTCAGCAAGAAGTAGCCACACTTCTACCATCAGAAAATCAGAAGAAACAAATGGTTCAAAGGACAAATGGTTCAAAGGGAAAAGCCAAGGAAAAGACATTCTGTATGTGCCTTCCCTATTTTTTAATTGATAGTTATGTCAGATATCACACTACAATCTGTTCACCATCTCTGCTTTACAAGACATTTTAAAAAGTCATGCTATTATAGGAAGTGCATACATAGAAAAATGGGGTTCTTATAACTTTGGAATAAGTTGCAATAATAACCTTGTTTGTGACATCAAAATCATTAAAAAAATATGCGCTTCATAATGGAAAAATAGAAGTAGTGTAGCTTAATAGTCAAACCCTGGGAATGGCAACTAACAGCTGGGTTCTGTTCCTGGTTCTAGAAAATACTTGTTTAAAATCAGGCAAATCGCGATAAGAATTTTTCTCACATAGATTCAGTGAATTAATTCAATAAATCTGCTAATTGAAGCCAGCAAAGAAAATGAAAATTACTATACAGGAATAGATTAACTGAGGAAACACAGAACCTCATTTCATGCAATTGTGCAGGGGTACTAAACAAAGCAATAAGCTTCATAAATAACTCCATTATGAAAAAAGACTCTTCCAAACTGTATAAATCAGTATACACATCAGGAAACTTCAGATCTTAAAATTAAATTTTGAAAAGAGTGAAAATACTACAAAATTGTTTTGATTATAAAACAAACTAGGGCCTTTGCTTGCTACGCTTGCCTACTCCCGTGTCTCTGGCTGTTTTCACTTGGCTAAGAAAGCCTGTTGACGTCATTCTGTCGCCTGAAAGAACATTCTGCTGTCCAACAGGGAAAACTTTTTTACACAGAGAGAAAATAAGTGCAGTCAAGAATTCTGAATTGATATATTTTTAACAGATTTGAGATTACATGTTTCAAATATGAGTCATGTAATTTGTTGTGCTACAGGTTGAACCTCTCTAATCCAGAACTCTCTTGTCCAGAAACATGTGTCATTCCAAAAGATTTTAGTTAGCTGGATGTCCACTTTTCATGGGTGTGACCAAACTTCTTGTGGTCCCATAAAGTTTGTTTATAGCCACCAGTCCTAGCTTTCAGTGTTCTGTGCTGTTATTTAGCTCTAATTTACCCCAACTGTCTTCTAACAGCACAGTAAATAGTGGAAGTGTTGGTAATGCTGCTAGACAATACTGACTTCATGTGGTCCAGAAAATTCTTTCATTTGGAATCAGTCAGGTCTCGAGGGTTCTGAACTTGAGAGGTTCAACCTGTAGGGGAAGGCATTTTTGGACTGTTTATATTGAAATAAAAGACCTGCAGGATGGCCATGGCAGACCTGGATTAGCTAACTCAGGCTGAATTTTAGTTTTACAAAAAAAATAGGAAAGAATGCCTCCAGAGTCACTATAATGTTTGGATCAATTATATCAAAAAGAACATGAAGAATAAAGAGGAGATATCTATTGCAAAGAGAATATATTTCTACGAAGTTCCACTAAGAATAAGGACCAACAGCACTCAGTATGTTAGACAAATATGCTTTTTCCAAACACTATGTTACTGAAGTTTTTAGAAAACTTTACTCTTTCTTGAAAACTCATCTTCTGTGTTTCACAATCACTT